AAACCAGCATCTTTTTCGTACAGAATAAAATTTCCAGGGATATTACTCTAGTATCAAACCAACCCCTACTATACAAGCACGTATTTCTATAAAGCGCTTGTAATGATTTTCAGAGATTCCTATCACGAAGAGACGAAGATCACTCATGTTTCTACTCTTTCTTCCTTTCTGTCGACATAGTGCCCAATTTTCTTAATTTGAATTTGGACCAACATGGTAGCAACATCTTCAGCTTGAGAGAAGTTGTTATCCCACCTTCATGGATTTATAATCTCTTTTTGTCAGGCCTCGTTGCTCGAGAGGTTGGAAGTGCGGCCGCTGGATTGCTTTGTCCCCACTTTGGCTCTTACAATGTCTACCAGTGCCTTGCGAAAGCGCTCGCGCGAAGCGGACGAGAGTAATGATGACGAACCCCAACCGAGCAAAAAGAGAGAATCCATGGAAGATGAACAGGATTTGCTTCATGCTGTGGCAGGCTTAGAAGAAACCGTTCAGCTTGGCCTTGACATGGTCTCGAGCCTTCATACGATAGCCGCCAACTCCCAGAAAAACAGCTCACAAAGCTCGAAGCTTGTAAACCACTTAGAGCTCCTTCAAAGTCGGTTTTCGTTCCTCGCAAAGACCTGTGGCGAGATCAAGCCCGACTGTCACGAGTTCCCCACCGACATTCTAACGGCCTTTGAACTCGATTTCCCGGAACCACCTCCAGCCCTAATTGAGATATTTTCAGAGCGTACGTGTGCATTGATCTTTATAATTTGCTATCTAAAACCACTGTAGAAGCCTACATGTTCCTCCAGCTCCATCTTGACGTAATAAGAAATCAGCTAGACTCGGTTATAACACTGTCTAAAGCGTTTATTGAGCGGCAAATGTGTCCACCATCAGCCAACAGCTATGCCCAATCCATGACCTGGCCCGCTTGGCAGAAACGGTCAACTGCTATTCTCAACCTACGCCCAAGTCAAAACCAAGGCCTCCCCATCTCCATCCTTCATAATATCTTTTCTGGATTTCGTGCTTTCATGGCAGATCCACCTCCCAAGACAGACAACCTCCCTGCGGCATATCAGACTGCTTACAACATCTGCTTGAGGATGGCTGATTCGTTTTCCGACGCAGAAGCCCGCCGAAACGATTTCCAGAACCATTTGATGCAATTTTTCGGTCGCTATATGCACTTCGAAAACGATTTCGCCATCGACCCAAACCTCAGTGGATGGAATCCCTCCATCGGTGATTCGGCCATTTACTGGGGATCTTCCCTCGTCGGTATGGGTGTGTTCAAAAGTGAATTTGGAGAAGGAGATGCCTATATGCAAGTGTCCCGTGTCTATCAAAGTTGGATCAATCATCGGAGGGACATAAATTCGGACGTCCTAGTCGTAGGGGCACCTATGGTCCTCATTTGTGTCATGGGTATGTCCCTATACTTCGTGCCCTTAAACTTTCGATACTCACACGCCGCTCTAGGGCCAGTTCTCATACTCGCAGGTGGTTTCTATGATGGACGTTCCACAGTGGTGGAACCACTTACATCCCCCTATTTGATGCTACCGGATCATAACCGCGAGAGGCCGGATAAACTCGCACATCTCCTATTGGCAATGGAACAAGCTCTAGAAAGTATCGCAAAGTTGGTCAATCTTTCGTCCTTTTGTTCTTAGTTACTGAGGCTTGAAAAGGTTATGGAACGAAACCCAACATATGTATATGCCTCCAGCTACGCCTAGAATCTATCCACAATTTACGGACTTGAACGGCAGACTCTTCCACCTAAAGTTCACCAAAAGAGTGCCTGGAAGCCATCCCGACGCCAATCTTCTCTTCCTCGCAACCATGGCACCTTCCTCGTCTATCCAACCCGAAAAAAAGGTTTTTGTCAAAATCCTCGCTGGTGATCGATATGGTACCATTGCGCAACAAAAGATGGCTGATGCTGGTTATGCGCCTATGCTCTATGGCGTAGCCAAAGTCAAAGGCGCACCTACCGCCTACATTATGGAGTACCTCTCCCCGGAACAAGGATGGAGAAATGTCCACGAGTATGTCGCGAAGAGTAGGGGTGGGTTGAGTTTGAGCGACTTTGACGATCTGCACAAGGCCATGACAGAGGCGAATGTCGTGCATGGCGACCTTCGACCGAACAATATCATGGTTAGGGAAACGGATAATGATGGATTCGAATTCAAGATGATTGATTTTGATTCGAGTGGGTTGAGTGGCGAGGTGGAGTATCCCCTGCTACGAAATCGGAACATTCCATGGCCCGACGAGGCAGGGAAACCAATTTTACTGGGCCATGATCGCACAATGCTCAGGAGGTCCTTTGACGAACTCTTGTCGAGGCTTCAATAGTCTAATACTTGTTCTCTCCTTTTACGGTACGCATACCTCTTTTCTATTGAATCAAATCTGATGTTCCCGCAAGCATAGCTAGAATGGATAAATCAAGAGCTTTCTTTGGGGTTGAGGTGAAATGGTCTCGAACGCAGGCAAGGTGCCTTGTTCTCGAAGGATATTCATGACATGACCGGGGCAATTTTCGCATCTTACTTTGCAATTCCCAGAGGAAGGCAATTCTGAACACAAGAAGGGAACTTTTTCATTCAAAATATAGCTAGATTCTGGTAAGCAATGCTTCTCTTGATTGATATGGTCCGTCTGACAAGGCACTCTCGTTCTCATTACAGTACAGTGCATGACTAAGCTTTGAAATTCAAGAAAAAAAATCTTCTAACTAACAATACTTGGTTAATCCATCGTGTCAAGTATACTATCCGTGGAAGCTGGTCAACTGTGGATCAAGAACGGCGTCGAATGATTCTCCATAAGATGGGGAATTAGATTCCTACCCGAACAAGGATAAGGCGCCATCCAAGGCATGTCAAAGTGCACTCACCGTCTGTGTCCAATACTGCGGCATATCTGTCGAGGTACCATCGCTCGTCCCAGTAATGCCATGAATGGTCTGGAGACCCGTCCATTTATAGTAGAGGGTCCGGGCATGATAGTTCCTATGCTCTTCCCAGTCCTTGCCATCAAAGGTGGTGCCGGTTCCGAATGCGGCTACGAGTTGGGTGTGTGCATTTCGAACGTCACGAGCCAACTCTGCCCAGTCCATGATCTCCCCCGGTTCGAGGACCTTCCAGAAATCGAGGACTGTCTTGGAAATATCGGCGAGTAACGGGGATGAAGGGAATGCAAAGGATGACGAGTGAGGTATAGCCGACACATCAACTCCTGCACTTGCCCTCAAAGCATCCTCTTGGAAGATCTTGAAGATGACCCACGCGTGAGTGGACTCTGGGGCAGTAACGAGGGTATAGCAGAGTATGGAGAGGGCATCGTTATTGGAGAGGATGTTGGGTTGGACGAGGCTGGCGCTTGGGATATAATTGAGAAAGAATTGGTAGATGAGGTAAGGGTCGTTTCGTGGCTAAGGTATGTGAGCGATGTTGGCATTGTCGAGCGATGAACTATCGAATGTATGTACAGAACATACCGTAAAGACTGGGACAATGTCCCCGGGGTTTAGTGGTCTTGCAGTCATGATTGTAATGGACATTGGGGATGGTGTAAATAATTTCTGATGATCATATGTACCCAGCAGGATCCAGGAGTTAGAGGGGTTTTTATAGCCATGCTCGTCGCTGATCAGGGTCCTACGTTTAAGAATTTGCAGAGGAAGAGAGGCAATTATTTCTGGATAAATTATTTATTTTCACATTAATTTAGCCATATAACGGTACTATTCACTTGCAGAAACAGAATATCGATAAGTGGGCTAAGCGGGATGCTGATCGCCGCTTAGTGCGCTCTTTTGAATGTACTAGTAGACCCTACAATCGAGACGACGAGTCTAGATGGGCTGGTTAGGAGAGTGTGTACAGTGGAATGGAATGTTCCGAAGGGGGGAGGCTGTCTGTAAAGGGACCGCTTTGCGTGGAACCAGAGCAGACGATCAGCTTATATAGGCTACAAGAGTTGAATGCAGATTCCAGGTCACGTTTAAGAATCTGCAGAGGAAGAGAGGCAATTGCTACAAGAGTTGAATGCAGATTCCAGGTCACGTTTAAGAATTTGCAGAGGAAGAGAGGCAATTATTTCTGGATAAGTTATTTTATTTACACATTAATTTAGCCATATAACGGTACTATTTACTCGGAGAAATGAATTGTTCCATTCTTCGGTTCCGGCCATTTTGAAATTGACTGGGAGACCGTGATTGGGCTGAGGACTGCTGAGGACCGTCTAAAGGACTATAAGCTAAAGGGTTGCGCTCCTCTCTCCATCTCCCCTGACCATAGTCGCCGCATCACCAACCGCAACACGTCTGGGCACGAACAAAGAACAAAGGCAAAAAGTGAGGAGGATGGGCGTATCTATGTCCTAACTCAACTTTCAGAAATCTATCTTGCTCCGTGCTTCTTGCTTTGATGGCCAAATCCAGCAACACCTCCACAATTCAGCATTTTAGGGGGCACAAGAACCCGTCTATGCTCTTTCGGCTGTTGGCGAGTGGAAATTGAGACCTATAGAAATAGTGAACAGATTCTTTGATGGCTCGGTTAGCGGCGCAACTTCTGTATGTGATGCTCTGATACGCCCTAATCCCCTTTTGAAACAGGGAATCGCATTGCGAAGACACGCCACATTTTTGGGAAAGAGCCAGTGCTGCTCCTGTTCATTGGGGATATCGGGGTTTAGATAGGAATAGCCAAGGTGATGGACGGGCGAACGAGGACGCGGTTACCCAAAACCAAGGAACCTTCTTCTCAGCCCCACTATTCCTCACTCAATGGCCGTGGATGTTGTAGCCTGAGGATGACAGCTGCGACTTCAGTCCCACCTCCATCTGTTAAAATGACTCGCCTATTCATTTTGGTGACACTGTATGCGACTTTCCGTCAGGGCAGGGACCTGAGCCACAGCTGCCACAGCTAGTCCGAAAATAGGCAAAGTTTGGTTGAAAACTGGTAAACTGGATTGAGCTATGATATTGGTTATAGTCGCAAGGTGGACCCCGGTCTATACACCCAGAGGACCGTCAGTGGCCCCGCGCATGTCTAGCCACCCCCCGAAGAATCAGACTACAAGCTTTCAGTATCTCGGTTCTTTTACTCATTCTCCTTTCCCTAGTGCTCAAAGGCTTCTGTACTTCATCGCCCAAACGCCGAATCATATTTGGGAGAGTCGCAGACTCTTTCTCCGATGATACCAAAAACAAAGTATAATACAGATACACAATTTTGGAATGTAGCCAAATATTAGAAAACATTGAACGAAACTGTAAGTGCAGGTACGACGAAACACCCCACAGCCATCCGCCGGTCGGCTGTTTGGTTGGACAAACACCCCATCCACTGAGCACTCAACCCCCGCGACCACGTCCTCAGAGAGGATACATAGAGCAGCTACTCTTTATATAACCGGAAGAAAACTGGCGTCTACTAGATTTATCGACATTCAATCGGGTTACATAAAAGTTTTGCGACTAGGCGTTTCATTCTGGTTAACGCCAGCCCAGCAGACCCAATGTGTCCACCAATACCAAATTACGTCTTCAGTCTAATGGGGGATTAAGCTTATATCGCTTCGACGACGCCAGCAAGTAGCCTGCGACACCTCGTCTTCAGCCCTCGCTCTTTGCTACAGGCGACATCCCACAATGTCCCGCACAGTCATAACAATGCACAAAATCAACCAATGATGCCTCACAGGGCGTCAAATCACCGCCTCTAACAAGCCCGTCGTGGACAATGGACATTCTCGCCTCCTTGGGGCCCGGCAAGAGGAGACCGTGGTCTCGCCCATTCTCTTCGTATTGCTTTGCCTAAATCTCTGAGATTAATGGCCCTTGTATCCGACCAGCAGGCAACGCGACCTTACTATCTCGATCCTCCACTCGATCCCGATTATGATTTGGGAGGTCACTCAGAGACTATGGAAGATATCATCGACAAGATAGCTATGTGGTATAGGATACTCGGATCAAGAGTGTTGAAAAGGCGGCACTCGAGGGAGTCCAGGTACCTCGTATGTATCTTGAATTTCCGTTCAACTCATTCTCACATACCCGTAGTCAAATACCAAATACCTCCATTTCACAACCC